TTGTAGAATCTCCATCACTGAAGATTACGCCATTTAAGAGCAGGTTGGATAGACATCTGTCAGGGATGATCTAGATGGTGCTTGGTCCTGTCGTGAGGGCAGGGGACTGGATGATTTCTTCAGGTCCCTTCCAGTTCTAGTATTTTATGATTCTATGATTTGGGGATTGGCAATACTGTTCATATCCTCTTCAATCACCCTGCTATCTTTCTTGTCTATATCTTCATGAGGACAACACCAGAACATAAGAATAGCCATACTGGGTCAGACCAATTGTCCATCCAGCCCAGTATCTTGTGTGCTGACAGTAGCCAATACCAGATGCCTCAGAGGGAGGGAACACAACAGGTACTTCTCATGTGATCTCTCTCCTGTCGCCCATTTCCAGACAAACAGAGGCTAGGGACACCTTTCCTACCCATCCTGGCTAATAGCCATTGATGGACCTAACTTCAACGAATCTATCTAGCTCTTTTTTGAACCCTGTTAAAGTCCTAGCCTTGACCACATCCTCTGGCAAGGAGTCCCACAGGTTTACTGTGCATTGAGTGAAGAAAAACTTCCTTTTGTTTGCTTTAAACCTGCTGCCTACTAATTTCATTTGGTGACCCTTAGTTCTTATATTGTGGGAACAAGTAAATAACTTTTCCTTATTCACTTTTTCTACACCAGTCGTGATTTTATAGACCTCTATCATATCCCCCCGTAGTCTCCTCTTTTCTAAGCTGAAAAGTCCCAGTCTCTTTAATCTCTCTTCATAAAATATCACAGGCCATGAACAATGCTTCATTACAACGGAATTTAGTCTGAATTAGGGCTGAGTTTGACATAGCTTCACTGACATCAATGGAATGACTCCTGATTACGATGAGTGTTGGCGAGAGGAGAATGAGCCTGGGGTGGACACAGTCAGAGTGAGCTAAGCAGCTGTGATTGTGACAGTAAAAGCTCTTCTTTTCCGAAACAGCCACCCAGAGCACCCAGCAATTCTGATCAGTTTCTGATGTCAGGATGACCTTGTTTGTGCGCAGTTTCCATGTCTCTCTATGCTCACTGATTCTAGCAGAGTGCAAAGCTTTGAAATCTCTAGTTTCCAGCTGCAGCTAGAAGTAGCAGGCGTAAGTTGTTCAGATAACACTCCATTAAACCTCAAGCACTTATTTGAACCAAACTTCTGCACCTTTTGAAGTGTGTCTTTAGCAAGCCCATCATCTTGTTATGCATGGATTTGACATTGCATGTACCACAATCTATTTGCTGCCACCGTTTCTTCTGTCAGAGGGAGGATTGCAGTGTGTACAGAAATACCCAAAGAGACCTGGTAGCAAGGTACCCTTCTCCATAACAATCTTCCCATCTCTCCTGCCAAGAAGGCCTCTCCCCCAGTAGGGTGTATGAGCTAAATATGGAGTGTGGTGGCTAGGACTTAGTGCTGGAATGGGTTCTATTCCAAGTTCTCGGTGCGATATTGGTAAAGTCATTACACCTCTGCCTCAATTTCCTCTCTAGGTATCATGGCTGCTGCCTTTGAGACCTGCTGCCAATTAGGAGGGCTAAGCATTATTATAAAGAGATGGGACCAAATGGAAAATGCACCTTAAAATGTAAATGGACCCCAGGATAATAAAAAATAAAGGGGTAAGATATGATACAATGTGATTTTCTGTTTTCTGCAGGAGCTTCCATTTTCAATCCCTTTGCCATACATTACATAGAGTTAGAACCACATTGGTGGAACAGGGCAGTAGCCATCATGGAATAGAACACGGTAGGGGCTACTGAACTAAGAAAAATCTCTTCGGCCTTTTATACCACTCCAGCAGCAAAAGGGAACCATCAAGTAATATGGTATCAGGTTTAAAACAATAGGCACCAAGTTTAAAATAAAAGGAAATCTTTCTTCACCCAGCGCACAGTCAATCCGTGGAACTCCATGCCAGGGGACGTTGTGAAGACTAGAACTTTAACTGGGTTCAAAAAAGAACTAGATACATTTTTGGAGGTTAGGTTCATCGATGCTTTTTAGCCAAGATGGGTAGGAATGGTGTCCCTTGCCTCTGTCGGAGTCTGGAAATGGGTGACAGGGGCTGGATCACTTGATGATTACCTGTTCTCTTCACTCCCTCTGGGGCACCAGGCATGGGCCACTGTCAGAAGACAGGATACTGGGCAAGATGGACCTTTGGTCCATTCTTATGTTCTTAAGTTCTTACGTGTGTGAAAATAGCTCCTGTGCAGGTGGTTTGCTTAGCCAGTGTAAAACTAGCAAGAGAGTCTGCTGCCTTCCCCCAGCCCCTGGCAGATCAGGACTATGTCAGGAAGGTGCCTGCAATGTACTGTACTAAGCTATTCTCTTCTTCCCATGACCTATACTGGAAAGTAGAGGGTAAGTTAGAGTATCTGTAAGGCTATTCAGTGGTGTCCCCCAGTGTCCCTCCCCATTAAATATATTCATAATGATCTGAAAGAAGGAAGCAATGAGTAAGGTGGGAAAATTTGCAGATGATACAAAACTTCTCAAAATAATTAAGTTCAAACTAGACCACAAAGGGATATCACAAAACTGGATAACTGGGCAACAAAATAGCAGATGAAATTCAAATTGAAAAGCGCAAAGTACTGCATATTGGAAAATATACTATGCACATATATCCCAACCAGACATATAAAATTTTGTGGTCTAAATTAGCTGTTATTGCTCAAGAAAGAGATTTTGGAGTCACTGTGGATGGTGCTCTGAAAACATCCATTCAATGTGCAGCAGCAGTCCAAAAAAAAAAAAAAAAGAAGCAAATAATGTTAGAAAGAGAGAAAATATCATACTGCTTCTATATAAATCCATGGTACACCCACATCTTGACCATTGTGTGCAGATCCGATCATCCAATCTATCTATATCTATATCTAGGATTTGGAAAAGGGAGAGAAAAGGGCAAAACATGTTTAGAAGCAGGGAACAGCTTCCATATGAGGCGAGATTAAATAAAATTGGGACTGTTCAGTTTGTAAAAGAGACAATTAAGGGGGTATATGATAAAAGTCTATAAAATCATGGCTTGTTGTGGAGCAAGTACATAAGGAAGTGTTATTTACAACTGCTCATAACACAAGAACTAAGGGTCTCCAAATGAAATTAATAGGCACAAGATGGCCAGAAACAAAAACCTTGTTGCTGCACAGAAAAGAGATTAAGGTGGGTAGAACGCTACAGTGATCTTATTGTGGGTAGGAAAGGAGGGGAACCCGAAAGCCCAGCACATAGATTCATTTTACCCTTTGCACTGGCTTCTGCAAACCTTTTATTTGGAAATGTACGATGCTAGCGTCCCTTTAAAATGTGAGCATAGACAGCGGTAGGAGACTGTGATGATGATGATGATGGTTTGTATTACAGGATACTTATAGGGGGGGCACAGATCAGGACCTAATTATTCTAGTTGCTGTACATACACATAGTAAGAGGCAGTCACTGCTCCAGAGAATTTAAAATCTAAGTAGACAAGAGGGACAAAGGTGGGTGGAAGCAGATTGGACATAAACGAGACTAATAGGTGTCTCTCAAAGAGAGATGTTCCTGCAGAGGACCAAGAATTCTATGAGCTTGATTTAACTTCATAACCTTTCCCATCACTGCTCTGGTGTGAGGGCTTTTTTCCTCTGATGTGCGTTATACTCTGTTTCAGCATCTCCCCAACGCTTACGATGTCAGCTAAAACTTTATTTCCCTTTCCTGTGCCTCTCAGATTTCTCTTCCTCTCTGCTACTTATTATTTGGCCTAATAACTGGCCATCACAGAACCTCACTAATTACTGTACCACGCTCGGAGGATTTTTTTTATTTTATTTTTTGCAGATTAGTGAGTTAATTGAACAAGCTGTTTAAAAGAGAATAACACAGGCTATCACATCGCAAAAGTGTCATTTTAATTATAACTCTTCATAGAATACTATTAGATACCTAACATAAGAGAGATGTTTGTGATGGGGTAATTGAATGATTGACTCCATACATATCCATGTTTCTCTCAATCTTAGAATCTTGAGTTTGGTGCACATCTTCATGATGAACCTGATCATATACCCCTGGAGACAGTGGGAACTTTGTTGTTGATTTCATTTTCTGAGTTTGAAAAATCCAATATTTGACCTGTCTGGTGGAAGTCATCAGAAAGTCATCTGTCTGGACTGCAACTACACAAATGTCCTTTTGAGCTACACTCTTGAAATCTGGCAGGCTCATGAACTGCCGACTTTGTGGGGAGGGGAAAACATACACTCAAAAGTGAAAGCGGCGAGGAGTCCTGTGGCATCTTATAGACTAACTGAAGTGTAGGAGCATAAGCTTTTGTGGGCAAAGACCCACTTCGTCAGATGAACATTTCTAAACATCACTCTGAGGCTATGTCTACACTGTACTTGGATGTTGTGACTGGAGCTCATGTGGGCACACTCACACAATCTTTAATCTAGCAAGCATGGTCAATCTAGAAGACATGGCAGCATGGACTCTGATGTGGTCTAGGATCACCCGGGGTTCTAACCCTACACTAATTTACACTGCTGTTCTTACACTATTTTTAGCTGCATCTCAATCAGTATTTTTAGCCTGGTAGCTCATTTGGAACTAACACAAGTGTATCTTCTCAATCTGGGAATCAGAGCCCCCGTTGGAAGTGTAGACATATCCTAAGTCTAAAGGAGATCCAGGCTCCTAATATAAACAGATATAGCTCCTGTTTGCACTGGTGGAACTTACTCTGATTTCAATCAGGTAAATTCTTCTACTGCAAATAGTGGCTTTGCGGGTCTACACAAGGGATTTGCACTAGTGCAGTTACACCAGCACCTGGAACTGGGGTAAAACCTCAATATGGACAAAGTCAAAGTCTTTGCACTGTGAAATCTCTCCACAGCGCAGTTATTAAATGGTGAGAAGTGGGGAAGAGACCATTGCGGGGGTTGTGTGCCAACTAGAAGGTGTGAAAGAGAATAACAAAGACCACACTGGAGAACTTCTATTATATTTTAACCTTGTGTGCAGTGGTTTGGGAGAAGAGAAGCATTTGGCACAAAGGTGCTAGGCAAAATAATGTTGCACATGTGTGAAGTGGATACATACAAAAAGAAATAACTGCTAATAAAAGGCTCGTGTATGAAAAGCATTTTAGCTGTGAGATGCAGCGGCACGTAGCATTCAAGGGCGTCCTCCAAAGTTGCAGCTGCAATCGTGTTATTTGGCTCACAGGTGCCGTGAGCTGATACTGCAGTTAACAGCTCCACAGGCTAAAGAACTGTAACTTTGGCAGCCAGCTGGTGATGCGTGATGTGAGTTTCATGGCCCCTTTCCCTCCCACCTACCCCCCAGCCTCCCCAAGTTTGGTGTAGTCAATATGTCTACAGGTTTTGAAATTGGCAGTCAAAGTCTGTCATCCTGCAGATGATGAACTTCCATTGACGATCCCTGTGGGGGAAGAGAGACAAACGATAGACATTAATGAGGCAAGGGCAACCGCAGAGGACAAACAAATTATACAAATGAGGACAACTTTTCACTAAGGGCACCTCCAGCTAGCAACTCTGACTGTCTGCCACTAGCCCAATCAGTTTTCCTCCAGGTGTTACCTGTTACATGACAGAAGGCAACGGAACATTTCAAAAGATTGATAAATGCCTACCCTGCCCCCGACAAACTAAAAGCATCAAGCCCCCGAATTACCCATCAGAAGATAATGACTTTTCATCATGATCTATCTCCAGTAAGCTTCAGAGCAGTGATCTAGAGGAGAAAAGCCAGGCAGGTTATGATCAAAAGTCACCTGCAGGTGATGAGTTGCTCTGTAAGCTGCAGTACGTGAAATGGGTTGGTAAGCTTCAGCTGTCATATGCTGGCGGGCAACTGAATTCAGGTACAGAATAAAATATTGGTAGATGGGACTTGTAATTTAAATGAGTGGTGAGTGACTCTCCAAAGTCTGGAGGTTTTCAGAAGCTCTGCTGCAGCTAGTTGTCTGAGCTTGAGTCTGAACGCTGTGGTCGTAACGTTGTGAGAGCTAGTTGAAGGGGAGAGTTCCTTGCCAGATCTATGCGCACTATCTGTCATGTGCTGGTCACCCCATACACAGCACGCACCTCTGAAGTACTGCTTCTGGGCATTCATAGAAGACAGGAGGTGTTGTAGAGAAGATACTGACCTCTCATTCGCTGCTGGGATATGACTCAACTGACTTCAGCTGTCTCTGCAGTCTAGGCATAGCCTCACGTGCTCCAGTGTAAGTCAAGAACGACTCAACTGACTTCAGCTGAGTCGTTCTTGACTTACACTGGAGCACACGAGGCTTTGTCTCGACTGCAAAAATTTTTTGGGAAGTATCCCTGTGTCCAGGGAACACATCTGCTTTTTCGGAACAGTTTCCGAAAAAGTGGGCGCGTTCTTTCAGCATCCCTGTATTCCTCATTTTATGAGGAATAAGGGATGTTCTAAAAGAGGAGTTTTTCCCAATATTTGGCACTGTATAGACGGGCCAAATGTCCGAAAAGCTTCTTGTGAAAAAAACAGCAGAAAAAGATACACAAATTGTAAACTGCAATTTGCGTATCTTTTTCCGAAAACCCCCCCCCCCCCCAGAAGTTTAGACATAGCCTAAGAGAAGAATTTTGCCCCCTGGAGTCTCTATAAATAAAAATAAAAGTACTTTCAATTCAATTTTAATTTACGGTGCACATTATGTTGGTAGTTTACCTTATTTTAACAGTGTTATTTAGAACAGTGCATCTCTCACATCACCCAGCAGTGTATATTCTTTTTTTTTCTTTCAATGTTGCCTTGATAGGTAGTTTTCATTGTTATTTGCTTACAGAGGGCCAATACAATGCCAAACTTATTTTCAGATTCAGTTTAAGAAATCATCATCCATGGTACATGTGTGCCTATCACAGACATTTGTTACTTCCCCGGTCACTTGGATACCCAGAGATACAAATCAATCATGCTGCAGTAAGGTTTTACAGCTCAGCATTATGGCCTATTAAATTCACACCTGTTGTAACAGAGGCTCTTAACTCAAAGTCTTAGATCCAGTACTTTTGCCATGAAAGAACATTGCCAAGATAAAAATCAAGCATGTTTAACAAACATGTGCTTTTAGTTCATGTATTAATAATACAATCTATGATAATAAAAACAGAAATGTTATTTAAGATCTCATTCTGTCAAACCATGAAATGAACTTAATTTTAAACCCCATCAACTTTATTTGGGACGTCTCAGGGCCATACTTTGTACCTTTTGTCATGTAAAAGGGATGCATGAGTGGCCCTTATCTCAGTGGGCCAAAAGATTGTCCTGACGGTTGGTTTCTTGGGATAGGGTAGTTTTGCTAGCTGCACTTGTGTACCTAGAATTTGTGGGGTATGCTGATTGAACCACAGCAGCTCTTTGATTGACTGCTGTCATGAGTAGGAGCTGCTAAGGAGAGTCTGATTTCCCTGGAAATTGAGGAAAGGGTTAAGCAACTCTGGGAATGCACCTGAGGGAGGGAGCTTTGGGCATTTAGCCAATGAAATGCAGAAAGGAATTTCAAACCCAGAGAAGTTTTTTCTTCTCACATCTTTTGTTTGGAGACCAGAGCAGTTTTCCCCAGGTAACAAGGGAGATGGGCTCTCCCAGGAATGGACTCCTTGAAATATATAAGTAGGGAAAAATTTAGATAGTCCATCAGGTTTTATTATTTTTCTTGTTTGGGGGTTTGGAAATCATGTCTGAGCTGGTTAATTGTTTTTCTCTTTTGTAACTAAGGATTATGACACATGGATTTCCCCAAGTCTATTTCACTGCATGGCTTTTAACACCTAGTCATTTACTATCATTGCCACAGTAGTCTTATTTTGATAATAAAAGTGTTTTTATGGGAGGAGCAGAGCCCCATTGTTTTCTGCGGATTCCTTCTGTTAGTTCTCCCAACTCCAAGCGAAATGGAGGTTGGAGTTGGGGGGAGAGCGTTGCCTCAGGGAGGGGATTCCCAAGTGATCTCTTCTCTGGAAAAGGGTTTATTTTATATATTTTTAATTACACTTGGATGGTGGCAGCATTTTTTTTCTTAGATCTCAGGGAAACTGAGACCAGACAAGTTTGTTTCTGGGAGTACAGAGACAGGTTCCTATAGAGTTTATTATGCTAGCTGGCCCCCATATCTACACTCAGGCTATGTCTGTACTGCACCCTTCTTCTGCAAAAGCTTATGCAAATGAAGCGTGGAGTAGAATATCACTACACTTCATTTGCATAATTAATTAGGGGCCATTTTTGCACAAGAGGCTTTTGCGCAAAAAGGAGCTGTGTAAATGGCTTCTTTTTGCACAAAACCCCCCTCTTGCGCAAGAGCCGTTCTTCCTCATTTTTTCATTAGTGGCAATATGCTAATCCATGCCTCATTTGCATAGGCTTTTGAGCAAGAGAGGTGTAGTGTAGACATAGCCTCAGAGTGCCAGGTTGGGGAGCTGAGCCATGCTCAGGGAGGGATGCAGAAGGAGCACAAGGCTCTCACAATGTGTGCAATCAGCATGTACCTTGCTTCACGTACCTTTGTTTTATGTGCATTTTGCTTTTGTAATGCCGGTAGGGGAAAAAACCTACATGGTTGGAAACCAGCAGAGTCTGGCAACCTTGTGCGTGGACAACAGTAATCAAAATGTTGCATGGGCCACACATAGAAACCTGATGAGCCACATGTAGCCCTTAGGCCACAGACTGCCCACCACTGGTTAGAGTATGTCTACCTTGCAAAAAAAGGTGTATTTTAAGCTCAGGGTAGTGCATGAAAATTAAACTAGCAGTGAGAACATAGTAATTTGACATCTAGCTCAAATTCAATCCCAAACTTCTCTAATCTGAGTTAACACTGAATTTTTGTGTCTTAACATGAGGTAAGAGCACAGCAGTTTTTGGAGTGTAGACATACCCCTAGGTAAGGAAGAGAAGCTTTTCTGGCCCCTTTCACTCTCTGGCGCTCATGTACCTGGTGTTGTTGTATTCAGCGTTCCAACACTGCAGGGAAATATTTAAATCCTCAAATAATTTGTTTCCAATTAAATGAAAACTGTCCACTATTTCTCATCCGATTAGATCTGATTTGTTGTTTTTGTATGAAACCTAATGGAGGCCTAAAACAGCTGATTGTTTAGCTGATCTATCTGGGTACCACACAGGTAGCTGCATGCCAAGGTGTCTTTAATCATGATTCTCACAGCAGTGAAGAGCTTGCTCATGATTCAGATCACTCGAGCAAAGACACAGGAGAACAGATAACAAAAACCTTGGTATGCCACATCTTTGAGCTTTGTGTAAGGTGTGTTCCAGAAAAGCTGTGGCAGGGAGTGACTCTTGTGCCCCACAACTCTGCTGGGCTCCCACCCGCGCTGCAGCTGCAAAGGATGGCAGAGGAGGGCATGCTCTGTGCACATTTTCATGTACACCTTGCAGTACAACATGTACACCTTGCAGTACAACCCACTCCATGACTGCTGATTCCAAACCAGGATTTAGGGAGACCTAGGCTGGTAACACTTGACAGAACAGCTTGGATTAATCATTTTGGCAAGCAGGGAGCTGGAAAAAACAGTGAGGCCATGGGCGGCGGATAATGTAGGCAAGGCAAGGCACAGCCTTCCTAAAACTACCTACCGGCCCATGCAACATTTTGATTACTGTTGTCTACTGGGGAGGGCTGGGGCCACAGTGTGGCTTCACTGGCCACCAGGGAGGGATGGGGCAGTGGGGTGGCAGCCCTGCTCCCAAGGAAGTCGAGGGCTAGGGCTGCAGCAGGGCAAGCCTGGACCTCCAGGTGGCCTGTGAGGATCAGGCTGGTGTGGGCGGGGCTTGGCTCCAGGGGCAGGGTCTCAGACAGAAGGGGTGGGGCTTGGGCTTGCCTTCCCCAGCTGGGCCTTCACCCGCCTCCCAGTGAGTGAGGTCCATCTGTGTCCAACAGCCTCTCTAACAATTCCTAGACTGTGTCTCCATTAGCCCGTTTTTCTCTAAAATCCCCTACTGCTGCTACTGTAGGTTCAGCTGCCTGAATGATAATGGGATGGGGCTTCTTGTGGTAGCTGCCATTTTAAGCACCGTGTCATCCAACCCTGCTCAAAGGTGTTCCAGCCAGTACCTTGTCTACACTGCTGCTCCCACTGCTACGATCCGTGGGGACGGCAGCAATGGGAAATGACAGAGAAGACCCCAGTGTAGCCAAGATGCTGGAGTCCTGCCTCTTCTCTTCCACAAGGGAGACAGGCACCTCTGGGCCAACTGCCTATCTTTTGCACAGGTAACTTCTGCCTCTGTGGGGAATAATCTGTGCACAAGGTTGCCAGTGAGCAATAACCAGCCCCCAGGAATTTTGTCAGAAATGATCATTTCTGGGACTGTACAATCCTGGGAGTCTATTATCATTTCTGCAAAGCCACGACTCCCTTGGCCTCCTATGGACAACGTTGGCTGGGGGGAATTCCTAGTGTGCTGCCAGGGAGCTGGGAGGGCCACCATGGCAAAACCATCTCTTCTTTACCCCCTACTGTACATATGGGCGGGCGGGAGAAGTGTTTGCATTGCTAATGATCCTCCCCAACCAGGCGTGGCAACAACTAGCTGCCTCAGGGCACCCCAACTCAGTATCTACCATGGTATCCCATAATGCTGGGCTAGCATGTTGGCTTGGTGTCACTTAAGAAAGATCCGGCAGTGACATAGTTAAGAGTGTTGCCAGGTAAACTGACCTCATTATACTTCAGAGTAATTCAACACCACCAACTGGATTAATGGGAACTGTTTACACTTCTCAGGTCTGTTTTTTCAGACTATCTACAAGCTCAGGCAAGCAGCACTGCACTGTTCTACATCCCGTTCATAGTTTGAAGGTTATCTCTGCAACCACGATGGCTAGAGAGATCATTTGTTTTAAACTGAAGATTTTGGAGCATAGTAATGCAGCAGTTCGAAACAGGCCAGTGGTATCCATTTGCATGGTGTATAATCTCATTATACACAGAGCCCTGCTCAGAAGGCGGTAACAAATGCTAATGAGAAATAATGGTCCGGCATGATTGATAACAAAGTAATTAACACATTCTCTGGAAAGGAATCAGTGTTCTATTTCATTAAGCTTAATTCTCTATGCCTGGCTTTGCAGCATGCTTCAAGCTACAGGACCTGAATCTGATCACTTGTGCCTTGTTTTTATCAGTAACTGCTGATTTCAGGGAATTTATTCTGCATTTACAGTTACATCAAAGAGGTGGAAGAATCAGTCCCCTTATAAGTAAAGTTCTTTTTATTAAACCTCTTCAGATGGGGCCTTATGAAACACCAAGAGTTCTATGCTCCTTTTTTTGGGAGATCCCCTTCCAATTCCTCAGTAGATTAAGAGGGTTTCCCTTTGCTGTGGGTCTATTTGCCTGAAACTCAGCTTCTGTTTCACCATGCTGTTTGTGACTCAGTCTGACATTATTGAACAACTTTGCTCTATGGCACAGAATAGTCACTTCTTTTTGACCCAATCCGCTGGGGCTGGGGCTATTTGGTTACATTATCATGGTCTATGTAGCTAAGTTGTTGGGCCTTTGCTTTCTATTCCTGTACCTTTAAACTACTAAGGAATTGTCTACGCTAGTCAGTGGACCAATGCTGCAGTGATCGATTTATTGCGTCTGTTTAGATGTGATAAATCGACCTCCGAGCACTCCCCCATCAACTCTAGTACTCCACCAGGATAAGAAGAGTAGTCAGAGGCAACAGGAAAGGAACCCCCACTGACCTTATTGAGTGGAAGATGCCTCATTGACTTCAGCAACATTATTTGCAGAGCTGAAGTTGTGTAGGTTAGAGCAACAGAGGGGTGTAGTGTAGAGTAGACCTAAGAACTCTCCCTGTGTGTATAATTCATGCACTGAACCATCTCCCTGAATGGAAGAGATGCACATACTGTCTGTCTTCTCTCATGAAGAATTTACTTTTGTTCCTTTCTGTTGTTTTTCTTAATCTAAAATAAAACTACTTTTAGACTGAATGTACAGTGTTGCTTTTCGCATATGGAAATACATACAATTGGAATACCCTCAATTTGTTAACAGCAGTTCCCTGAATGTCCACAGACACAGACATTTTGGTCCCTTTTAAGTGACTGCAAATGATAAAAATTGGTTTTGGGGAATAATCTGAAGTCATGTCTATAATATAGAAATTAGTGTAAAGGGTCAGACCAATGATCTGGTTCACTCCTCAAATCTCTACTCGATGTCTCAAAGAAAAGAATCATATCAACAACATATATAAAAAAGTGGGGGCGATCAGATGTTAGGACTGCTGTGAGGTTTCAGAGGGGAGATATCTACAGTAATAAAAGGGTTAGGGGGTTGGGGGTGGAAGGAAGGTCCTAGTCCTCTTCTCCTTGCATCCCCAATGATAGCACATAAAACCTGTTTATTTAATCAAGCTAAAGATGACAAATGTGGTCTTCAGTGACAATTGACACCTGATGAGGGTCTGCCTGTGTTCTTAGTGAGTCTACAACACACAGCATAACAGTGGATCGAGGGTGATGTATTCTTGAGATCAGGACTCCATCCTGAAAAGGGCTTCCAATATGTCAGGATGCCACATATATCTAATGTTCAATTACCTACAACTGATACAGTGTGCAGCATGAAGACAGAGCATGCATGTGAGCAGGTGAACCCCTAGATGTGTCTGCGCCTCTCTGCACACTGCATACAGCGGTTGGCAGTATCGTGTAGCCTGATGAAACTCAGAGTGAGCTACACACCTGCTGGCTGCCATTTTGCTTTCCTGAAGGATGTGCTGAAATAAGCTCCTCTGTCCTTCCAGGGGTAGAGGATACCCCATGTGGAATTTTAAAGATCTTGATAATTTTATAAACAATGGTATCCAGAGCTAGGCCAGAACCAAACCTCTAGACCAAGATACCAGTCAATCTAGGGAAGAGGGGCAGATCTACAGGTGAACCTTTTGGCTAAGCTCGCTGCTAATAACACTCGTAGCTATCCCTAGTTATCAGATCTCATAGATGATCCTCAGTGAGGACAGGGAGGTTGGCCCCATGTACATCCCTGGTGCATGATGGACTTAGGCCCGATCTCTGAAGAATCAGATAGGTATTTTTATTAATCACTATCTGGGAGTGCATTTGATAGATCATCGTTAGATCCAGTATGGCAGTCCTATATTCCAGATGGGAGGGACCCCACTTTTTCTACAACTTCTAATAACAACACAAAGCAAAAAGCAAACCTGTCCACAGCAGAGAAAGTAGTAGTTGCTCCCCGGATGTAATGATCATAAGTGTACATCATCATGTCCATATCTTCTCCATAGTGTCCTGGATGTTCCGTTGTCATGCTTTATACCAAGGGAAAAGAAAACACAATTTACCTTTTGGTAGAAACAGGGAATGAAACAGAATTGACTGAGTGCAGCTCAAATGCCAGAATCTTCACCTCTATTTCTTTGAAAGTTTTTACTCTTTGAAAGTTTTTATTCTTTGACAACATAATAATGCAGAGTCCTACACATAATATGGTTTTGTTTCTCTTGCATGCAATTTGTTCTTGGAATCCTTTGGGTAATTACAAAGAATTTAGCTTATGTGGAGCAGGTCTGTTGTTAAAGATTGCAGCAACTCTGACAGAAAGACAATCTGAATTTAGAATGTAATGCCTGTCTATTTCTTCAGCTTGTCGCAAGGATTTTCACTTTCCTCCTATCAGTTTTTTTTGGTTTACTACTGCAAAGTGTCCTAAATATTGCCAAGTCAAATAAATACAATCCGGTCCATTTATGACTTATGCTTATGAACGTAACAGCTGTTGTGTTCCTCTTTCTTCTCTTTCTTCCTGCTTTGTATTCAGGCTTTAAGAGAGAATGACCTGGATAAAATGTGAACTGTGTAATTTATCCAAGGATCTCAAAGTGTTTCTGCAAACATTATTGAATAATAGTTACAAGCAACTCTCTCTGGGAAGTAGAAAAGTATTATGATTCCCATTTTACAGATGAATAAACAGAGGCACAGAGAAGTTAGGTAGCATGCCTACGGTCACCCATCAAGACTCTGGTTAGGAATGGAGACAAGAGGCTGAATTCATCACTGGGTTTATGCATGTGTAAGTGGAGTTACATTGTTGTGAATCTGGAGTAACATAGTGAAGAATTAGGGTGAAGTTTTGGCCCCATCGAAGTCAATAGCAAAACTACTGCTGACTTCCATAGGAGCAAGACTTCACCCCATGAATTCTAACTCCCAATTCCCATATAAGGCCCAATTCAGCACAGACTTTAAGCACATTCTCACACATATAACTAGTCCCCTCCCTATTTAGCAATGCACTCAACTATGTGCTTGAAATCTATTAAAGTTAATGGAATTGAAGCATAGCCTTAAATGATTTTTTTCTGAATAGGGATATTATTATTGGGATTCCTTGCATGTTTAAAATTAAGAACATGCTTACGTGATGCATCAGGGCACTAATCTGTAACTATTGGAACAATCAGAAATTGAAAAACTGTTTTAAGGCAAATGTATCTGATTGTTCAAAAAAAAAAAAAGATTGTGTTCACATATTATCTTTGGCTGCTTTATTCCAGAGCTGTTTCTGTGATTAAAAATTCACTGAAATTATCACCAGTGGCTATATAATTAAAAGCATGTTACATTACTTTGTTTACCATATTATTGGGCTGTTTATTTTCTCTGTACATAGCAGATGTGCCTTAATTACAGGTCATTTTTTGCTCTTGAAAATGAAAGGGAAAGACCAGTGAAACATCATAGTTGGCAAAATATTATTCCCAGGCAAATGAAAATAAGACTCAAGTTAGAATTCTGATGCTGCTGTTTAAAACCCTACAGGCATCAGGAGTTGATTCCTTTGTACCCCACAGGCATTCTTCTGCCACCTAACTCCACGTCACCATCAAACCAATGAGTGATTGCAGCATAAGTGCGATACTGCTTCGTCTTATCTGGGAAGTGGGGATCAGGTCAGTGTGACAGCATCAGTGACAGCATCAGCGTCAGTGCTCCAGCCACGGAGCTGGTGATCAGTCCAGTCTCTGTGGTGCTATGTTGTTAAGTGGTGAGACATGGAGAATACCATGTCATCACTAATACAGGCAACTGCTGCAGAGAGCTAAACAGAATACTGGTTTGAAAGGAGAAACAACACAGTTGAAAGAATGGAGATTGCTGAGCTGGGTTTTCTGCTAGAAGGAAGAAGACAGAGATGTTCCCTGTGGATGAGGGAATTTGGGCGATAGGCTTCAATCCACCTCCCACTGTACTCCTTAAAGAGACTCTCCAATTTCAGTGGGATCTGGATCAGGACCAGAGTCTTAGCATATGTGCAACATGTCTCAGGTGACACTTACTCAAGAGTGCATCAGTGAATTTGGTCCCCTGGTTGGATCATTAGCTTCTCCAGCTTGGGCTGGGTACTGACAGGGAGTGTGATATAAATGCTGATCCATGCTTCCCCCTCCCCTCCAGTCCAGACTGAACAAATGTGAGTGCAGTATATGTGGGCAAATCTCTTTTCAGTCATCCCCAAGTGAGATGACAGCTTGTCTTAGATTATGTGACATAATTTGCATCCCCTGTAAACCGAGGCAAATGCTGTTGGACTATTATTGTGATTGAGAGCTGACACTGTGTTATTTCTACTTTAGGGGCATCTGCCTTCATGCTCTTAAAATATATATCTAGTGCTTCTGTTTTTCAGGGGTTATTAATATCTTTAGCAGGGGTATTTTTAGCAATTTTTGAGCTAAAGATATCCACTCTCTCTCTCTCTCTCTCTCTCTCTCTCTCTCTCTCTCTCTCTCTCTCTCTCTCTCTCTCTCTCTCTCTCTCTCTCTCTCTCTCTCTCTCTCTCTCTCACACACACACACACACACAGAGAGAGAGAGAGAGAGAGATCCATCTCCGGGACAGTGTTAGAATGTAGAAATGCACAAAAAAAAAACAGGTAACAGTGTATGTATGTGTATGTGCAGCATGGCAGGAGTAGATTAATATATTTTTTGTAATGGATTTTCTCTGTGTCTTTCATGCTACCATACAGATATTTTTCTAGAGTTTAGTTTGCTTGTTTTTGGTGTATTGTGATGTAAATTCTACAAGTCTTAGGGTGGGCCAGGAAATAGGTTGCATAAAAGCATGTTTAAAGATCTGTATCTTTAACAGGATTTTTATTTTAGTCTGGAAGTAGGGTTTTGTTCTCCCTGACGAAAAATAAATGCAGAAGAGGCTAATAATACAGGTAATGTGATTTTACTCGACATAGGGAGAGCTCTGTAATAGCAAACAATAATTACTAGCATGTCTCATCCACAGATCTCAGAGCAGTTTACCAGGTTGGGTCAGAAGCATTATCTGCATTTTGTAGATGTGATAGTGATGATGGCCTGATCCTCAGAAGTACTGAGCACCCACAAACCCAGGAAAGTCAACGGGACAGCAGGTGTGCAGCATGTTTGAAAAGTAGGACACAAGGATTTTAATGGCTCACTTAAATGCACACACAGAGTTAATAGCAGAGTCAGTTAATATAAGCAGAGAATATAATCAGGAGTCCTTGACTCACATTGTACAGTTCTATCCACTGCACAGACTCCCTGCTCCCCTCCAAACAGTGACTATATGGCTAATGGTGTCTTATCTTGTAAACTGCAGATTTATTATACAACCATATGGCCAGTGAATGAGATAGAAGCTGCTTTTTAACTTGGTCTTTTCTCATCATCATGCAGAACTTCCTCCAAATGAGCCATGACCAAAAATTGGGGCTGTTTATTCTATGTGGGCACATGAACTTTGACCTTATCCTTGTGATCTCTCAGGAGAAGTAGCCGCCCTCGGATGGTCATGTTGCTTCAGCTGCCATGTGTAGTTGCTAACATAATGTGGTTTCACTCCGGGGAATATTGTAGTACCAGCAGCGATGGCTTCTTGTGGCATGTTTGCAGAAAATGAGAGGTAATTGTTTAACAGAGAGGAAGATGTTCATGCTTTTAGGGTTGAGAACTATGGATATCCCCTCCTAGCAAGCTGGCTGTGTTGAAAAGCCAAGGGAGGTCTCCTTTCAGTAATGCTTCAAGAGAGGCTCTAGCCTAGCCCATGATTTTAGCGGAGCTCCAGGAGAAGAATGCTTTCTAAGATCTCAAGAGCTATCCAGGACCTGGAACTGCTGCAAAGACAGAAGCCTTCTCTGGGGCCAGCATAGCTGGGACATTGGATTGGGAATCAGGAATCCTTGCCCCTGTATTCAGATCTGCTGGGTTACTGTAGGCAAATTACTTCCCCTCGCTTGTCTAGTTAAACTATAAATTCATTGGCGCAGGAACCATGTCTGAGAATGTGTAGGCAGTAGGCACAGTGTCTAACTCAGCAAGTCACCGTCTCAGCTGAAGGCCTGCTAGTAGGAGTCAAACCTCTGTGTGATCTGAGCATCGCTGTCCATTCTGCAAAGGGGGAAGGAAGCAGATTAGGTAGTTCTTCAATGTTCAGCGAGTCAAGCTCTCTGGCAAGGAGGCTGACGGATAGCCCTGAGGACAGAAGTGTCAGGTTGCATTCACTGGGATATATGTCAGGAACCAGACTTGACTTTTGGCTGAAAATAACCTCATTCAACCGGAAGGTATTGAGAGCATGAATGGGGTTTCCAATTCTGCAGAGATCTTTTTCTGACTCTCAACTGCTCTACTCATAATCTCAGAAGGGTCAGTCAAAGCCCCCATGAACGAATGAGCATATGGTTTTGATTGCAGCTTGGGTAAAGGAAACAGACACTTTTTTTAGGGCTCATAAACTATAAACATGTGGAAAATGGTGTCGTTGCCTGGTCAGTCTAACGGAGAGAAAGCAGCCACAGCACAAGCCAAACCTTCTGGCACTTAGCAATGCTGATTGTTTGGAAAAGGGAAACAAGCATAAACAGTCTGTGCAGATTTTTGGCTGTTCTGGTGACATGTGTTTGCTTTTGAGAGTATCGAGTCAAACTCTTCAATTACCCTGCAAAAAGAAAAATATGAAGTCTAATGGGAGTAGTCAGTGATGACGTGTCCGCATCTGCAAAGGATTTGTTGCCTTTCCAGTAAAATTATATTTGGTTCCTTCCAAAGAGATGGCCGACAACTGGTCTCCCACTGCAAAATGTACTTTACTTTTATAGCACTTTCCTAGGCAGGTAAAGTTACTTGTGTTTTTTCCATCTCCTGTAATCAATTTAACTATCTTCAGTATGGTAGAAATGCATGCAATCCAAGCACAAGGATTATCATGGAAGGAAAAAAACAAGAACTCCCAAAAAATATCAAGTTAACAAATCTGAGAATGGAACAGGCTACGGTTGGAGCTTGCAAAGGGTGCATAGAATCATAGAACACTAGAACTGGAAGGGATCTCAAGAGATCATCAAGTCTAACCTCAGAGCAGGACCAAACACCATCTAGATCATTCCTGACAGATGTCTATCCAACCCGCTCTTAAATGTCTCCAGTGATGGAGAGTCCACAACACCCCTAGGCAATTTATTCCAGTGTTTCACCACCTCAACAGTTAGGAAGTGTTTCCTAATGTCCAATATAAACCTCCCTTGCTGCAATTTAAGCCCATTGCTTCTTGTCCTGTCATTAGAGGCCAAGAAGAACAATTTTTCTCCCTCCTCCTTGTAACACCCTTTTAGATACTTGAAAACTGATATCATGTTCCCCCTCAGTCTTCTCTTTTCTAAACTAAACAAGCTCAATTCTTTCAATCTTTCCTCATAGCTCATGTTTTCTAAGCCTTTAATCATTTTTGTTGCTCTTCTCTGGACCTTCTCCAATTTTTCCACATCTATCTTGAAATGTGGTACACAGAACTGGACACAATATTCCAGTTGAGGCCTAATCAGCGCAGAGTAGAGTGGAAGAATGACTTCTTGTGTCTTGCTCACAACATTCCTGTTAATGCAACCCAGAGTCATGTTTGCTTTTTTTCAAGAGTGTCACACTGTTGGCTCATATTTAGCCTGTGATCCACTATGACCCCTAGATCGCTTTCTGCCGTACTCCTTCCTAGACAGTTGCTTCCCTTTCAGTATGTGTGAAACTGATTGTTCCTTCCTAAATGGAGTACTTTGCATTTGTCCTTATTAAACTTAACCCTATTTACCTATGGATGTGTTTCACTGGGCATTGGTGGTGAGCACATAAGTGCAGCTTTAAGCCCGTGCTTTAGTCCACCCCTAGTCGGCAAAGCACTGAAGCACGAGCCTAAGTTATTGCAATGGTGCTTTAACAAGTATTCTAATAGGGTGTGTATATGATCCAAAGAAGTGAAAAGTAAGTGAACTTCATATGTGGTCTGAGAAGCTGGAAAGATTCTACCAACTTGTGTGCCAGCCTCACACATATTGGGAGGACTCTGTCTCTTTTCCTTTTGGGAAAGAACTTTTCATTTCACAAGAAGCATTAGGATAGGATAGGATAGGATAGGATAGGATAGGATAGGATAGGATTATTGATCATTTTCCCCTTCAGGTGAAACACAGCTGCAGTCTACAGTGAAACCCAAAATATGAACGATAGGCATATTGCTTATAGCTTTGCAAGGTACAATGGAGAAATGGGCATGAAACATTTCGAGTAGGGAGGGGGTCAGGCAAATGAGATAAGAAAACCTTAATTTTCAAATTACACAGTGAATTTTTAGTTCCTATTAGTTTTCCTTAGAGATCTCCCTGTGCTCAGGTACCATAGTGAAGAGTTCATTTTGATTTAGATGTGAGTAGATGAGGGATTCTCAGATATTTTGGGGGGATGTGCACCCTATTTTCCTGTGGCTCGCACATTGTCCATGTGGCAGCGGCAGCAATTTATACATGGAAAACATGGAAAAGGAGTATTAGGAAAATATGCCTGCATTAGTAGATGCCTTTTAATGCAATTGAGCAACTAAAAGCAAGAAGGAGGAGCCATGTGAACAGTTAATTCTCCACATGACAGCCAGAATTTATTCCATTGACTAGGCCACAGTTTAGGAGCCTCCTACAGAGAGAAACAATCAGTATTGGGCAGGTATTGAAATTAATAATTAATTTTGCATTATCATTACTATTACTTAAGTAGCTCCAACAGTGGGCGAGATGCTTCATGGATAATTCAGAAGATATGGTCCTGCATCAAATGCATTAAATTAGTCCGAATGGCTGGGAGATGAAAAAAAAAGGAAAAACAAGTGGCTGAGCGGTGATGTTTAGCGGGGTCTTGTTAGTTTCACTTTTTCTGCTGGAGTCATAGAGTTCAAGGCCAGAATGGGTGATGTGATGGAGTAGCACTGCCCTGCTCCAGGCAAGAAGAGATTAACCCTACTCTATGGACCAAGGAAGCCAGGCCCCCTTGCCGCGGCTGGGCATGCTCCAACTGGAACCAGAGTATAAAAGGGAGCAGCTCAGCTCAGCCTGCTCTGATGACTGAGAAGTGGATGTGCATTGCAGGCTCCTTTCTGCGGGATGCCAGAGCTCCAGACAGCAGAGGCCAGGCATGCCAAGATACAGGTGAATGCCCAGTGGGCTGTGAAAGCCTATCAGGAGGAGCTGTCTAGAGCGTTGCCTGCCAACTACCCCAGAGAACCAGAGAGCCTGTGGACTCTAGAGCAGGTAGTCAGGGTAAGAAGTGGCCCTGGACTGGGACCCGGTAGCGAAGAGGAGGTCTGGTTTCCTTTAGCCCAGCTGTCAGCCCACACAGCCCTGTGCAGAATGGTGGGGCCACCGACTCTGGCTATAAGGTCCTACTGCCATGCCTGCGAGGGTAGCTCTGTTGACTTGGCCACAGGACCATAACTCCCCCCAGAGGGTTAATAGATCCACCAGATCCTCTAGACTGGCCTTCTGCATATCACGGGCCTCTAAATGTCATCTAGTCACCCCCACACTAAGCCAACACCCAGAATTAGACCTGAGTATTACAGCCCTCAGGAGATTAAGCTAGTGCATGCTACAGAGGACAGGCGGGACCAAAGTACATCAATTCCCAAGGCCCTTGCATTGGTTCTGTGGGATTCTTCTATTACTGTAGCTTGTATCAGTCTGGCTAACACTACTTTGAGGGGAGAACTAGGGCTTATAGGCCACTTGGGGGAAAACATAACTAAGGAGGGAGCATTAAGGAGCAGTGTGTCAGTGGGCATGACACACTGGATTGAGACGGGGTTCCAGGCTGAGGGAGCCACATGGGAGATGGCAGAAGAGTGGAAGAAAGACATGAAAGTAGGAGGCTAGACATGTAGCTTAAACAGAGTAAATCGAACCCTGTAGTGAATGACCAGAGATGAAAGCACTGAGTCAGGCAGGAGACAGACTTGCAGGGCTATCTTTATATCATCCCTGTTCCCCTGGAGGATCCCAAAGCTCTTTAGTAAACTGCAGGCAGGTCTGCCCAGTCTCTCTCTACTGTTGTGTCCCTGCTCTGTTTAGATGAATGGCTCTCTAGAGTGGATATCCACTTAATAGTCACAGGTATCCACATCCGTGCATATGGATGTGGATATTCGGGGCTCATTTTTGCAGATACAGATGAGGATTTTGTATCCATGCAGGGCTCTCTGGATCTCTAATCACAGTCCCTGGGGACTCTGAGCACAGAGAACAGAACAGAAAAGGGAACTAAGATTTGTTGCATAGATCTGCGAACAGGATTTTACCCAGTTTATGGAGGAAGCACTTCATCCTCTTTAAAATGCTTCCACTTCTGCATTGGGATATGACTGTTCTTTAATAGTGCAATCAACAATACACAACAGCTGACAACAAGAAACGGAGAATGCCAGGTCTTTTTCAAATAGGTAGGCAGTCTTCAGTGTAAGAAAGAACCACAAGACATGAAGAACCCACGACTATTATTTTAGAGCTAATCTGCCTTCAGATTAGCCATGTGGCTAGCAATATCAAGACTGTTTGAATGAGAGTCATTTGATAATCAGTCTTATCGCTACAATTCTCTCTCCTTCCCTTCCTCCCTCCTGCTGCCAGTCAGAGACTTTAAAATCTGCCTAAAAATGAGATCTAATCAAGGCAAGTGCCCTTAGACTTGCCTGGCCTGCTAGGACCATTTGTGAGCTCAGAGCATCTGCAGACTGTAGAAAGTAGGAAGGGCACAGAGGGGAGTTTACAGATTTGCTCTAGTCCCTGTTACTTAGGCTTTTAAAGTGCAGTTTCTTGTCCTCCTTGCTGCAAGAAGATTGGATCCTGAAAATTAATGCACTGCTGTTGCATTTGGTCGATAGCCAGCCAGCCAAACAGGAAGGCCTGCTAGCCTTGAACATCTCACATGCCTCTCAATGAAGAATGCACCTCAAAAACTAGTTCAGTATACAAAAGTATATGCACACTGTTTCTTTAAAAAAAATGTCAGAGAATTACATGGTTGTGCCAGCGAAAAAAAGGTTGGATTAACATTAACATGGAGATGGAAGTCCCCTGTTTTGCCTCAGAGCAGGTAGGAGCAATGCAAGCTTGCCTTCTAGTTCTAAAATTCTGTTCATAAGCTTTCACCTTGATTTAGGACCACACCATGACCCTGTTAGTCCTTAGCCTCCCTTGCTGATGAGACTGCCAGCATGGAGACCAGCAAATGCCAGCTGTGATGATCTTTTCTGAGAGGTAGACATCTCTTCACCAGGCCTGGTATTGTCATCACTTATTCATTTCCATAGAGGCACCCAAATGGCTTTCACATGGGAACAATTTTCATGTACTACAAAAAATGTGGAGGATGAGTTGAGTAAGGTGACTAGAAATGGCAAGTTCCCTGCCCCAGTCCCAAATCCACTGAGCCATGCAGCCTCCAGGGGATACTACTTGGTCAGAATGGAAATATACGTGGTTCACCTCGGTATACAGAACCAACTTCTTCTCAGTGTGTCAGACAACAGAGCTCTTGACTTCCTGGGCCCAATGGTCAGTTGTGCCACACAACACTTCTGAATGCTTTGCAGCAAGAGTTGAGCGGATTTGGGCTGTAGTAAATCTTACGGGACTCACCTACAGGAATATGGGCATCTCCGGCTGTAGCGGCAGCAGTAAAATTGCCACTCCCGATCAAGCACAGATGGAAAATACTGGCTCTGGAATCCTGCCACCAGCCCATTATTGGAACAGGTCTGATACCTGTGAAAAACAAAACAGAAGAATAAGTAACGTCAGTTCCCCGATATCCTCAAGCACCTCCTGAAGCCCACGCTCTCGCCTATTGATGCACCGCTCGGCCAACAGACAGGAAGGGGGAAATTGTAAAGACAAAGACATCAGAGATGGAAAAGTGGTATTTAGTCCAGCCCCCTAAACCAACACTGTTGGACTGTACCCTGACTGTTGGACACTGACCCATGATTTCTCCAATCTAGTTTTAGATAATGGAGGTACCTGGTGTCATGGATATTCCTTTAATGCCGTTCAAAATTCAGAGCTGGTGTTGCGTGAGTCTGGGCATCACCCATGATCCATTTGCTAACGCCATTCCCCTTGGTGACTGTAGCACCTCATGCTGCACCATAGAAATCAGTGACCTGATTCGCAGGTTGACACCTGTTACATTGGTAGAGTGGAGTAATAGGGCCTTAGGTGTAAACAAGACCCCTAATGGGAATTTTGCTGTTACTGACATCCCTGTGAGCAGGGTCAGACATTAACAAGTGTCATTGTTCAGGAAGTTTTCTACAGAAGCACCATGGCTGAAATCATGACTTCCTGAAGTCAATAGCAAAACTCTCATTGACTTTACTGGAACCTAAATTTCACCCCCAATCTCTGCTTCTGCAGTAGAGCAAGCACATTCTTTCCTAGAAGGAAAAGAATTGGGATTTGAGAGCTGAGACAGCAATGCATAAAAAATTGACTCACAAAAATACATTTTTGTCTGTGGTATGACATTAACCTATGGAACTCATTGCTCCAGGCATTACTGAGAAACACTTTCACGTGCCTCCATCACAACGGTTCCCTGGGTTTTCTCCTTCCATTCCCGAGTGAGTGCTTCTTCCATGTTGCCCCTTTCACTTTTAGCAGCCTCACAGCTATACTCCCAAAGTCTGTCTACCCTAGAACAATTAGTACATTCATTCCAGCAACTGCTATCAATGGTGCATCTATGGAGAATCTATCTTAGCGCTCAGGGCTGAGGATTTTTTTTTTTTTACCAAGATAGTTTGATAACAAAGACCATTATCGCTTACCCCGTTGCTCCCACAGGTGGAGCTGCATCGTTACGAGTACAGATAGGACTTCTCTGCTCCGGGACTTTCTGCTCCAGCAATATCCGTGGTCTGGCAGGGTCACAGATGTTGCCAGACCAGAGAATCCCGGTGACTGGGTACCGAGGCTGACCAGCAGTCCAGTGACAGAATGGCCGGCGGCTGGGTGCAGAGCTGGGGCTGGCAGCAGGGCAAGGAATGCAGTCGGGGCCGGCAACTGGGTCAGGGCCGCAGCTGGGACCATGACCGGAGCCAGAGCTGGGAGCATTGCTGGGGCCAGCAGCCAGGGTTGAGAGCGCAGCCAGGGTTGGGGCCAGGAGCATGGCCATGGCTGACAACCAGGGCCATTAGCATTGGCCAGGATTGCAGCTGCAAGGGAAGCCCAGCAGCCAGGAGGCTGCCGGCACTTCCTCCCTCAAGAAAACCTGGAGGCTAGCAGCAGGGGGCCAAAATTGACCTCCCTGGGTCTGACAAACTCCCTCATTCAGAACCAGCTAGGTCCCCAGGGTGCCAGACCAGGGAGGTCCAATCTGTCGTTGCTGAAATATGAGTTCCAATAGTTTCCATACAGACAAGACTCAAATGCCCTGCCTCTTCTCTTTCAAAATGCTGCTGTTAACTCACAAGCATGCTGAAAGTGATGAGCATGCCTGTGAATTTACTTTGTGCGGCATTGTTCAGCATAATTCCTGTTTACAGCAGGAGACTCCCTGGGGCACGGAGCATATGAATTTTGTAGATCTATATCTAAAAACACTGTATGTGCTTACTGTACATTATTAAGTTATATTTTAAAGAAGAAAGTGGCACTAATATAGCAATTTACATCGCTAAGGCACTGAGCAAACACTTAACTAATTATCACATATGAGGCAAGGAAATGATATCAGCATTGCTAACCCAAAATATTTAAAAAACACAAATCAGAAGATGGTCTTTAAAACATTCAATCAATGCTTCTTTTTCTTTTCCCTCTGGTATCTGATCATTTAGGTTTCTCGGGGGAGGGAGGGTCACATTTTCAAGCATTCCTCTGCAACCCTGTGGGCTAGAAACTGACTGATTAAAAGAAAAGTTGAGTTTCTCATGTAATCACCTGACTCCGGGAACTGGAGCTTTAACAGAAGCATCAAATATTGTGCAATGAAGTCCCAAGAGTTGATAACAATATTACAATATTATTTTGCATGGGGGGAAACTGGGGATTAAAAGACTTCAAGAGTTTAAGTTTGGATTTACAAAATGAAACTTTTGCTAAATTTACTGAAACAAAACCCTGCTGCATATGCTGTTTGTGCTCTGTGGTATGACTGCCAGCCCTTAGTTCATTAGCAAATAAATCAAAGTCCTTTTCATGGAATATACAGGCTCTCTAAATCACAGACATACCACCTCTGCTGCAGTGTGTCCCAGAAGCATTTGCACACAGAATCCAGAAGCAGATGAAGTGTTGATTGTAATGTACATCATTTGCTTCTTAGAACTGATTAGGAATAAACTGTTGTATTATTTCAATGGCACCTGATCCTGCAGCAATAAAGTCAAAGGGAGCTTTGTCATTAACTTCAATGAACATAGGCTTAAGTGTCTAGAACATAATCTTTGAGAGCCAAGAGGCTATATATGTAGTAGGGAACTAATCAATGTGGGTATGTCTACACTACCCCGCTAGTTCGAACTAGCAGGGTAATGTAGGCATACCGCAATTGCAAATGAAGCCCGGGATTTGAATTTCCCGGGCTTCATTTGCATAAGCGGGGAGCCGCCATTTTAAAATCCCCGCTCGTTCGAACCCCGTGCCGCATGGCTACACGCGGCACGAACTAGGTAGTTCGAACTAGGCTTCCTGTTCGAACTACCGTTACTCCTCATTCCTGTAAATCTGGTCTATTCCAACTGGGAAGTGCTCAGCCATTCAACTTTAGTATTTTCTCAACCTCATTTTCTCCAATGGAACTATTAGTAGTATTTCATTTCAGAGGGGTAGCCATGTTAGTCTATTTCAACAAAAAGAATGAGGAGTCCTGTAAAGACTAACTTCTGTTATACTTCTGATATACTTCTGTTCAAAAGTTTCAGAGGGGTAGCCAATTTAGTCTGTAACAGGAAAAACTGAATAGACTAGTAGCACCTTAAAGACTAACAAGACATGCAGATGGCATCATGAGCTTTCATGGGTGCAACCCACTTCTTCAGATGACTGGAGTGCTAATATGCTTCTGTGTGCTGGAACAAACTTTGTCAGATGCATCCTGTGAAGTGGCAGATCCCCACTGAAATCCCATCTCCGCATCAGGTAGAGTGGAAACTTGAACCAGGGGTCTCTCACATCCCAGGTAAGTACCCAAATCATAGGCCAGAAGCTATCAGGGAGCCCTCCCCTTGACCACTTCTGTTTACAGAACAACTCAGCTTTCCTTGTACAGCAGCTGATACCCGAATACCATCAGCAGCCCGCTCTTCTGAGCCAGCTTAGAAAAGATGGACTCGCTCACCAGGAAGACGTCAGTCACAACAAACTAACGCAGTAGGAAAAGCACCACATTCTCAGTCCCTGGCTCCACTTCCTATAGTACCTCAGACATTCAAGCAGGGAACAGGCCCGACCCAGTTTAGCAGGTGAGGTCGCAGCCTAGAATAATGGAACTGCTGCCTATGATGAGCAGATGAGCGGATTCTCTTCTATCAAGGACAGTATTTTCCCAGGAAGAAAAAAGACAGGCCTTAGTAACTTTGTTTTTCAAAAAAACTTTCTTTCCTGCAGTGGCACTTCACAAAGATCTATTCTTTTTAATATCCCAAGCAACATTTCTTACAAGTGGAGCAGTAGGAAAGAGTTGTGTGTCCGCTGGTTTGGCTGATGGAGACCTTGTTTTACAGAAAGCCATTACATCAGCGATGCGGCCCAACATCATGATTCTTTATCTGCCCACTAAGAACAAGAAGGGAAAGGTAAGCGCCAGAGGGAAAGCTGAGAGCATGAGAAGCACTGCAGCTCAGGCCAAGAGGGGCTCTCACGTTACTCAGCTGCACTGAGGTTATGCAACATCTTCCTGTCATCTGCTTCTGCCAGGGCTGCAGGAAACCCCGCCATCCATTTCCTCTAAGGCCTTAGGAATCCTGTCACGCACTTCCCTGTGGCCATGGGCAACAAGGCTGTTCAGTTGGCCTGCTGCCACTAGCAACCCTGCTTCCCTCACGTGACCCACTTGTTTCTCACACAGCCTCGCTGCCCTTTGAGAAGGCAAGCTCCCCTTCCCCACAGCCTCACACTTTGTTCAGGGTAATGGGTGAGAACCATACACAGATCTAAGCAGCCTGGCTCCCGTTTCCATCTATCCAAACAACCGCACAGGATTCAATACAGTGGATCTGTGTAAAAATGCACCCTGCTGTCCTTTAAAATAAAGCTACAACTGTGAGGAAAACCAGCTTACTTATGGCAGCTAGGTCAAATGGGAACGTTTGTAAAGGGCAGTTTAAAAGGCAGGCAGTCTGATTCCTGGGTTTGTGTAATCTAATGCTTCCCAAGAATCGGTCATAGAGTCTGCCCAAAAACAGTCCTCTGCGTGCGCGTGTGTGTGTGTGGAATCTGTTCACTAAAACAGATTCTCAAAATCCTCAGAAATAGCGGCAACAAACTTACATTAAACTACACTTTTGTGAGAAAAGTTTGTACACTGTTCCTGAAAAATAAACTGAGTTTGCTGAGGATAGGCACAGCAATCAGTCTATGTAATATGAAGAGGGGCTGGGGGTTGAAGACTTCATCAAGGGTCTTCCCCTCCCGGGTTACAGTTGTTTGGTTGGCTATTTTAATCCCTGCCATTGGATGCAATTTAGTTCCTTTCATACATACGGTTGCTCTTCCTAATTTTTTTTAAAATCATTTCTGCCAGAGAAGACACAGAAGTGGACAGAGAAGATGTGAACATCACCAGATGCAGAGAAAACACCCAAAACTTCCTTTCATTTGGGTGGAAAAATTTTAAACCAGAACTCCCAGGGCCTTCTCCATTGTAAAAGGAACAGGATGGACATTCATCACCCTTAGATTTCACATCCCTGTTCAAAACACATCACTGTATAGTGCCACAATGAAGACAAACAGGGTTTAACTTATTAATTATTAGAAACTGACACTGTCCCCCAGACTTCTCATTACTCCAATGCCTTGCCAGTGTCTACCAACCAGTCATTAAGGGCCAGACTCTGCTGCCCAAGCACTGAGTAATATTCTTGTTCCCAGACAGTCCCAGAGAAGCCAGGGGAGCCACTTATGAAGTAAGGGGCAGCATGAGTAAAGGTGTCAGAATCTTTCCCTTCAAAAATAGGCCACATTTCAGCAAAGCCCCTAAGCACATGCTTAAATTTAAACACATGCATAGATTTGAAGCTCTGAAGGGTCTATCTCAGTGGTTCTCAAACTTTTCGGCATCACGCCCCCTTTTTGATTTTTGAGAAACCTTCACACCCCCTCCCCCCTCCAAAAATAGCAGCAAAACTTGGGGTGGGATTGATGGGGTGTGTGGGGCTGGGTTGCCTCACGCCCCCCGTGGAAGTTCTTCATGCCCCCCGGTTTGGGAACCCATGGCCTATCGGATCATCTAGTCTGGCCCCTTGTATATCACAGGCTATAGAATTTCATCCTATTACTCCTGTACTGAGCTTATGTCCATCCCTATTCAGCAATATGCTTAGGCCAGTGATGGGCAACCAAGATTAGTGAGTGGGCCTCCTTCATCTCAGTGGGCCACAAGATTGAAATCCTAAGGTGGGCAACCTGCGGCCACTGGGGTTCCAACTGCGGCCTGTGCACTGCGGCCTCTATGCCTCCTTCCCCTACACCTCTCATGCTCTGGGGCACCCGACCTTCCGCACTTACCTGCGCCTCCTCCCTGTCCCTCCCTCCCAGCACTCTTGGAGCCCCATAAATTGCCTGATTCATGCTCCATCCCCACTAATCTCCCTCCCAGAGCTTGAAGACAGCGAATCATCTGATTCACAGTGGGGCATTTCTAAGCCAGAAACATAGGGTATGTCTACACTTCATTTCTCTCACTCTCTCTCTCTCGCTCTCTCTCGGAATGCAAATGCAGACACCCAAAATTGCAAATGAAGCGGGGATTTAAATATCCTGCGTTTCATTTGCATAATCGCATTATGGCGCTATTGCGAAATAGCGCTATTTCGAGAGAGAAAACGGGGTTATTTCGAGATAAAACCCATCCCTCGAAATAACCCTTACTCCCTCATTTTCGAGGGAAGGGTTTTATCTCTAAATAACCCCATTTTTTCTCTCGCAATAGTGCCATAACGTGATCATGCAAATGAAGCACGGGATATTTAAATCCCGCTTCATTTGCAATTTCGGGTGTCTGCATTTGCATTCCTCTCTCTCGAGAGCGAGAGAAAGGAATGAAGTGTAGGCATACCGATAGTCAACATGGACTCTGAGTGCTACTACAATTCACCTATAATTTATTCTCATTAGTCAGTGAAGGCAAGGTAAGAAATAATAGGCATCAGATTCAGCAGGGAAAATATAGATTAATATTAGGAAGAACTTTGCAGCTTTATGTTTGTCAATAGAGCAGGCTGTCAATGGAAGCTGTGAAATCTCTGTTGTTGGTGATTCGCAAGGGGAGGCCAGACACCCATCTCTCAGGGCTGATGTAGGGATAATAAAAATCATCTTGCCACAATGTGAAATGGATTAGCTAATCCTGCAGAGATTGTTGCCAATTAAAATGAATCTAATTTGTCCCTTAGAAGCGGAACTGAACAATCAGTAGACCAAAAGGGACACAGAGATCACCAGAAAGAGACCCACTGTACTAAAGATTATTATTATTATTTGTGTTCCTACACAGTTCCTGAAAGAATGTATTTTTAGGTCAGGCACTCAAATTCCAGGGTGAGGTGCATGGTAGAGAGCTGGAGAAGAGAGACAGATTGATAAATAGAAAGAAGACAGAAGCATTGGATTGTCAAATGCCCGAAGAAAGTGACATAGGAGCAGAAGTCCCCAGGACTTTCAGCAGTCATTTAGGTGTGTTTGAAAATCCCATTTGAATTACATAGGAAAAGAGAAAAGACGCACTATACAGATAAGATAGAACAGACAGATAAAAGTGTTAGACAGGACACGTTAGTTAAGAGAGGCACTCCAAAACTGATAAGAAGGACAGAAAGACAATTCAATAGAAATATCTAAGATATATAAATGATGGAGAGATAAGGTAGGTAAACACAGAAAAGGAGAGAGAGAGAGAGAAATATCTAAGACAGAAAACTAATAGGAAAAAAGAGAAGCGAGAGAGAAAAGAAAGATACAGAGGAGAAAGTGTGAGATACAAAATAGAAAGATCTAAGTGAAAAAAATAAGTCAAGGTTGATATTCAGATGGTATAGCCAACCGAGGTACAAGAGCTCTGATGATGAATAATGGTTCTGATGGCACAAGAAAACATTTTGTATAGAATTGCACAATATCCTGTTTGTGAGAAATAACTTTACCAATTACTGTCAAGGATTGTTTGAGAGGAAAATAAGTTTCCCTTATTTTTAAACAATAGAAGGAACTCACTCAAAATTATTATGCAATAAATGCAATTTACATCAAAGTATTAAAAGGACTGGGTAATACAACATTATCATAACTATGTCAATCTCCTGCTTATTTTCCTATCTCTTTCTCCTTCCTATCCCCCCCCCTTTTTCTTTTCAGTCTTATTCCAAAGTGAGTCTAAACGATCAATATTTTTTCTTAGCAATTGCATCAGCCATAGGAACTTATCACAGGGTGAACAGAGGCACATGAATCATTCAAAGCACAATTCAAACTGCTTGAAAATCAAGGGTTGTGAATTTCATTTTGAATTTTTTGAAAATGTTTCTGTCTCGTGCAAAACCTGCAAAGATTTTGGTCTTCACTTAGTTTTTTAAGCCAAGCAATCTAAAATGTTTGAAATATTTCAACTGAATTATGTACATTTCAACATGGGTTTTCCATTTCACGAAAATAACATAAGAAAATGAAAGTGTGGGGCCGTGAACAGCCATTGATATTCCTATGAAATTTTGCCCCCTGCCACTCTCAAAATCTGATCACTTTTGCAGAGTGCTTCTCACAAGCACAATATTATATATGATGAACTAAAGCTGATCTTCTTAGGCTTTCCATAACATGTTCAATCATTATCATATAATTAATATTCACTATCATCATCATAGACTGGCATGCATGTTTGGCCCCTGTAATACTGATGTGAGTACTAAACAGTCCTATGCTGGGACCAAGCCAAAGTCTTCACCAACAGAAAGATACAGAGAATAAACAATGCCACATGGAAAAGGCACTTTTTTAATTATTAGGGTAGGAGATTGGTAGTCAGAAATTTGGGGTTCCATTCCTAGCTATGCCATTGACTGTTTCTTTAATCCAGGACAAGTTGCATTCACTCTCTGTGCCTCAGTTTCCCCTCATGTAAAATCAACAACACTGCCAAGCCGCCTCAGAGGTGAGGCTGTGAGGCTAAATCACTTAATGTCCACAAAATGAATTGGACTCCTCCAGTGGGAAAGTGCTCTAGAAGTATAAAGTAGGATCATTATCACATCATCAGTGAGCATCATTACTAATTACTGAGACAGTCATTTGTAATGGCTAAGCAGATAATTAATGTGCCCTTGCATAATTCGAACTCAGCTAATATGCACCTTCCAGCTCTGGGCATTGCAATTGCTCTTTCAAAAGGTAGTTTAACAGTATCCTACCATTCCGTTCCAGCTCTGTTGATCTCTTCCCACCAGCATTCTGTCGGTTCCCCAAGACTCTGGGGCGTAGACATGCATGCATAGTTCCACTGTCTGTCAGAGCCTTCCTTCTTGCTGAACGTGCTCCTTACTGCCGTTATCACCTGGCCATGGGGGCACTGGAAGTTGAAGCCCTGACGATACACATTGACCCACCCATCATTACCCCCATAGTCTCCATACTGGGGTTGATAGTAATAGTCGCCATACTGGCCCCAGGCCATCGTCACCAACGGCAAGAAGACACAGAGAAGAGCAAGGTCCATGTTGACTATGTTTCTGGCTTAGAAATGCCCCACTGGTTTGTTGTGCTGGCCCTTTTATATTGCCTCTAACATGTGGCTTCCAGATGTTTCATATCTAGAGCCAAGTGCAATGTGTCATTGTTTAACAAAAGTTCTCTGACTTAAAATATTGGCTGCAGACACTTTCAAGTACTTTTAAGGTGGAATTCTTCAAACACAGTAATTCTTGAGAGCATAGGAACTGAGTAAACCTTCCTATTGTAACCCTTCTACAATCCCTTACTGTAAAACTACTATCTATAAAGATTGTACATATGTATCACACATGGATAATACACGTGCTGCAGCAAACCGCCATGCAGTAGTTAAGGTTGCAAAACAGTTTCATTCAAAATTAAATCTCTTTTATAATGGACAGAACTTGATGATACAGTGAATTTTGGGTTGCAATTTACCATTCTTGGCACTTGCCCAAGTGTTTTTTTTTTTTTTTTTGGTTGCTGTTGTTTTTAAACTTGAACCAAAACAGTTCTATTATTTTTGAGTGAGAAGACAGTGGGGGAAAATATACTTTTCCCATTATAAAAATATCTTTTAGACTTTTTGGAGTTCAAATGGCTGACTGTTGATTGTTCTGATCTATCATGGGAATAGTTCTCATTGAAGAGCAGAGCTCAAGCTGTTTCCAGAGGAAAGTGATTTTGCTGTTACTGAGTTAAGAGCATTTGAAAGCTACATATGCCACACATGAAGCAGATATTGTCACTAAAGTTATTAAGTGCACTCCAAGGCCCTGATTCAGGAAACCATCCCTTTATAGGAAACCGCTGGACCACCTGTTTTACTTTAAGTCTGTGCTTAAGACTCTTAGGCTTTGTCTACACTACACGTTTTTGCCACAGAAAATATGCTAATGAGGGGCTCATTAGCATGAGTTGTGACTTCATTAGCTTATTTTTTGCCATTTCTTTTTGTGCAAGGGGTTTTTGTGCAAAAAAGCAGTGTAGCCACTTCCATTTTGTGCAAACCCCCCTTTTTCCGCAAGATTCTTATGCCGCTCTGGAGCAGCCCCATCCCTCAGTTGCTGCTATCCCCAGAATTCACAATGAAGCAGACCTGCTAATGTGAGTGGGCTGGACATGCTGGAAAAGGCAACTACCTTACAGAGACCCAAGCTCCATGATGGCAGGGTGACTGCTCAGATGGTGCTCCTCCACAGGGCAGGAGTGCTCGTCAGGGAGCCCAAGCTCTGAGAAGTTCCCCGTGAATAGAATAAGAACATAAGAACATAAGAATCTTCTTCCTGCTTCCATCCTCGGGATCTTAGACCTTTTGCAGCAGTAGGGGACATGGATGGCCAGGGTCTTGGGAGAGCGGTGAAGAATCCTGGGGATAAAGAAGACAACGTGCCCCCTTGCGCCTATGCATTACAGTCATCTTTAACTACATGATCTCATCCTATTTCTCAAACAAAACAGTTTTACAATGGCACGTGATTGCACCCGCAGACACATGTGTTCAACATCTTGTAGGGCTGTGCACTACTCTGTATCTGCCTGACAGAAAAAAATAATCTATAGAAGTACATAGTACACCGCACGTATACAACATACCAAGCTCAACTCTCAGATGGTGAACACGGGTGAACATGAATGAAACACCACTGACTTCAGCAGAGCGAGGCTGAATTTCCCCACTTGAAGATACAGCCCAGGACATACATCACAGAACAGCAGCAAAAAAGTACACCTCTGAGGGTGGGACTTATTTCAATGTATGAATGGGGGGAAGAGGGGAGTTATGAATGAATCTTGCTATGAATACACTATCAAATACATTAGTTTGGAAAAAAGAAGATTAAGGGGGGACATGATAGCGGTTTTCAAATATCTAAAAGGGTGTCACAAGGAGGAAGGAGAAAATTTGTTCCTCTTGGTTTCTGAGGACAGGACAAGGAGTAATGGGCTTAAAGTGCAGCAGGGGAGGTTTAGATTGGACATTAGGAAAAAATTCCTAACCGTCAGGGTGGTCAAATATTGGAATAAATTGCCAAGGGAGGTGGTGGAATCTCCCTCTCTGGAGATATTTAAGAACAGGTTAGATAGACATCTGTCAGGGATGGTGTAGATGGAGCTTGGTCCTGCCTTGAGGGCGGGGGGCTGGACTCGATGACCTCGCGAGGTCCCTTCCAGTCCTATTATTCTATGATTCTATGAAATCAGGAAGCCATCATTAGATGTTTTCCCTGGAGTAAACCTGTGATCTAACTCATTCCTAATGTTAGCTTTCCTTATGCAATCAACTCAAAGTCCAGTCTTACCTGCTTCCCAGCTACCAACAGCATCCTCCAGGTGGCGGTCAGGGGAGTGTCCACAAGTGGACAGCACCAATTAGGGTATGTCTACACTACAAAGTTAATTCGAACTAACAGACGTTAGTTCGAATTAACTTTAATAGGTGCTATACATACAAACCGCTAGTTCGAACTTAATTCAAACTAGCAGAGCGCTTAATTCAAACTAGGTAAACCTCATTCTACGAGGACTAACACCTAGTTCGAATTAAGTAGTTTGAATTAAGGGCTGTGTAGCCACTTAATTCGAACTAGTGGGAGGCTAGCCCTCCCCAGCTTTCCCTGGTGGCCACTCTGGGCACCACCAGGGAAATTTGTCTGCCCCCCTCCCGGCCCCGGAGCCCTTAAAGGGGCACAGGCTGGCTAAGGGGGCCCCGCCACG